AGAAGAAGAAGAAGAAGAAGAAGAAGAAGAAGAAGAAGAAGAAGAAGAAATGCCTACCTAGTCACATGGCCACGTCCACCTAACCACGCCCACAGAACCGGTTGTTGAATCCCACCCCTGTGAGACATCATCCCCAAATGATGAATTATGTAACTGCATTCTCATTTGTAGTTGATGCCAAACTGTGATGGTTTCCCCAAGTAAATGATGCCACTGTATTCTTGCATCATGACATCTTAAAATCATGGCATATGATTTTATAATAAAATCATGAGATTTTATGCAAGGATGTAATCTGCAGAATCTGAATGACCTTGTCATGCTACATGTCATCATTTACCCCTATATGACCTCCCTGCATGGATAACCATTTTGTGAGTTTGCTTTCTAGTTATGTTTTTTGGGGGGTGGCCAAATCGAGCTTAAAAGCTAGATACCTACAGCAGTCTCTCCTCCACTCTTTCAGACATCCCTGAGGTCACCCTGTCATGTATCATTCCAAAAAAAATGATCTATCACAAATTAGCATATTGAAAATGGAACAAAGCCCTGCCATTCCATCCTGGCTGCATGAAGCAAGTTGGAACTGCTTGTTTCAAGATGTATTAATTACAGCATGAGGTGCTTTTGAAACGAGGCAAGTGTCAGGCACGAAATCTCAGGACCACACATGAAGTTCCAGTTAAAGTGATTTATTACTAAACATGCTTATGCATGAGAATCTACTCAACTGACAAATAAGGATCAACGGAATTAAAGACAGGTTGGACTTAATCCGTTTGTGGCTACATAGAGATGCTAGGCTGATTGCACATTTGACTCGACCTCCAAGTTCTGCCACTCCTTCTCCTACAGTATAGTCAAATTTGACAAAACTTGTACCAGGTGGTCCTTCCTCACATGAATAGTTGCAGTGAACAATTGTGATTTCAAAAGCTGCCATTAAATTTTAAAAGCAGGTTGTGGGCAATCATCATTAATATTTATGCCCTTCCTTTTTTCTTCCTACCAATTCTACTTAAAAACAAAAGTAGTAAATAGGTTTTTTTTAAATATGTGGCTCTTCTAATTGATCTGTCTGAAAATTTAAAATTCAGTATGATGTGCCACAGTGAAACCTGCCAGTTCTCCAGGAAATGACTTCAATAAAGGACAACCACATTTTCTGACCTTGGTTGTTCTTGTGCAATGAGCAATTAACTCAGGTTTATTTAAAATTCAAGAAGAATTTTTGCACAGAGACATACATTTTGTACTTCTGGCTTGAAGAGTTAGTAAATTAAATTTTGGAGGTTTTATGGATTTATTGCAGACTGTCAGCCAGGGTTTCTAGCAATAGGTTGAGTGGACCTCACTATGAATCCAATAATAATCCATCATTGAAAACAAATCCTGGCTTAGAACAATTACAGACCCATTCTGAGACAAAGGTGCCAGTTTACCTGTTCTTTCAACCAGTTTATAATCTACATGCTAGGAGATATTTTATTTAGTTGGACGGTGTACAATTCAGAGAGAAGTCATTGCCACAACAACCCTGAATTGTTTTTGACTGATAAATGAAAAGCAACCGAGTCTTTGTTTGGAGTTCCTGATCTAACAACATATAACTGGCTCCCGAACTATGACCAAAAGGCTGTATATCATCTCTTTGTTTGTCTGCAGTGAAGCACTTAATTCGACTGGTTCTGGCAATCTACCAGCCACAACTTTCTCCTAGAAGTGAAAAGCTAAAGCAGTCGACAACAATGACTAAGCAGATGACAGTTATATGTAAACAGCTTTGACCTGCCAGCTGGCTTTCCTACAACATTCAATTGGGGGGGTTGGGGTGGGGGAATGGAAACATGGCAAACATTGGAGAGCATAACAAGAAGAGGCCAAAACTAAAATTGAGATTCAAGCCAAAGGGGGCTAACAGGTGCTGGTGGGATTTAGCACCAGGAACTATTCTGGAACAAAGTTGTTGGCAGCAAATGATAATATATACTGCTATGGTTCGATAAACCATATAACTAAACCAGATTCTCTTGAGCCTTCAATCTTAAACAGAAGTTACTAGTGGCTTTTGAAATTTCTTTCTATAAAAGAAATTTAAATTAACTTTCACCAAGCCTCCAAGTTTGCCGTCCAAATTTATTGAGAACGCCCTCCCCCAAGAATTCCCATCCAGGGTGGAAGTTATAATCCCAACCAATCCAGGAGGTTGGGCTGGATATTTTTTTCTTTTAAAAAATAATAAAGTCTCCCACTAATTCTCTTGGGTTTTAACACTGATTACTGAAGACAGTCATTTGTATTCCACAATGCTTGCATCAAGTCTTCACTCCTGCAAATAATTCCTTCAGGGTTACTATTTGCCCCTCTTTCATATCTACCTTCACCCAACAGGTTTAACCTATTGACTGAATGAAACAATGTTTTAGATCCAGAAAAAATATAGTACTGAACCACAAACTGAGCGACCAAGCAAACTAAATACACTGTGTGAATGCAGCCATAAAATCTGTAACTGACCCGCTAAAGCAAGCGGTCTGATCTCACCCAAGGACATCTATCTGACAAGTCAAGTAGTTGTTCCAAACAAACATCCCAGATCATACATTATATGGTAATTAGATGATTGATAGATGGATGGATGGATGGATGGATGGATGGATGGATAGACGGTAGGTGGGTGGGTAGATGGATGGATGGATGGATAGATAGATAGATAGATAGATAGCTGGATGGATGGATGGATGGATGGACAGGTGGATGGACAGACAGACAGGATAAAGACTGAGGCAGACAGGGAGAAGGGTAGCACTTGTATCAGATCTGCATACACGTATTATGACTATCTCATATAAAAGGCTAGAGTTTATTGATACTTTCATTTATATCATTTTATTTTACTCTAATAACCTGTAGACCTTTTGGGGACAAAAACAACCATATCTGAATGAACTGCCTCAATTAAGGAAACCAACCCTCGTCACTCACCCGTACAACATAGTTGAACCTTCTGGAATCCAGAATAGCGTTAGAGAAATCCAGTCTATTGAAAGCTTCTCCCAGGGTGCAATAGCCATGGCGCTAAAATAGAGAATGAAATACATGCAAGATTTCTTTCTATTCTGATTAGGACTGAAAGGGTTGACGGTCTCGAATTAGATCTGTAGAACAACTGAGTATACTTGATTTCAAGGCTGAGAGGTCATCAGGATCTCCACTTTCATTAAAACGAGCACTAAAAGGGGTTTTCCAATGCAGCAATCAGAGGGGAAGAATCTACCTTTAACTGGAGATTTCTTGGCCTGGATGTGCTGATCACCAACCAGCATAGGTGCATCCTTTCTTTTCAAGGGCTTAGAACTATCACACTGCAGAAATGTCACGATGCTTTCATTTTATTTTATATTACATAGTCAAATACAAGGGATCATGAGGTGAAGTGGATGAGTCCAAATTAAGCAAATGGACAAGATCAAGATTTTCCATCTTCTTGGGCTCATGGGAGATCGTTTTTAAAATGTGTTTGCTATACTTATGATACATGTTTCCCGCCTCAGCACTTGAAGGGAAATATAATTTTGACCAATCATGATCTGGGAGCTTTTAAGATCACCAAAGGTTTATTCTTCCCCCTTAGATGAAGTAGGTCTGCTCTTTCTCAGTTCTAATTTGAATGAGTGCGATCTGAAGCAATGTTTCTGAATACTCAACCACTTTAAGATGTGGGTCTTTAACTCCCAGAATTCCCTAGGCAGTAGGAGAATTCTGGGAGTTGAAGTCCTCACATCTTAAAGTTGCTGAGGATGGGAAATATTGGTCTAAAACAGTGATGTCCAACCTTGGCAAACGTTTAAGATCTGTCAGCCATGCTGGCGAGAGAATTCTGGGAGTTGAACTCTGCAAGCCTTAAAGTTGACAAAGTTAGACGCTCCTGATCTACAACATTATACTGGATCATTTTACGAAATGCAAAGTGCAGCCAATCAAAAATCAGCACTTTTAGTAAAATATACCCATATTACAATATTGTCAAAATAATGTAGTCCATGTTATTAACTGCATTTAATGGAAACAATGACAGAAGATGGGAAATTTTCAAGCAAAATTATTATTTGTTTAAAATAATGATGATTACTCACTTCTTTGGTGCTTCCCTTGTGCACATAAATCCATTTTTCTTGGTGAAAATCTGTTCAAACGAAAATACATTCTATTTAAACTCATACGAACATTAATACTTTGTACTCAGAAATAATGGTAGCCCTTCAGCCCATCTGGATTTTTACAAATACCCTCTCCCCCACAGCTATGGATACCCCTGTTTTTAAGAAACAACTGTGTATTAAAAACTCCATTTCAAACATTCAGGATTGTAAAAAGTTGAGATCAGTTCACTGGTGGGAAAGAAAGGGGAAATCTCTTCTCTGCCAAATACAAATGACAATAAGGTCAATGCAAAGGCATTGCACACAGAGCAAAGTTTAAAATCCAAGTCATCCATCTTCCCATTGCAATGAATCCAAGTTCTCTGGTTAAGGTCAAAATCCGAGTGCAAAATCTCTCCAGAAACTTCTGGAAGAGTTGCAAAAAACATTTCATGGTGTGAGAAATATGTTCTTTTCTTAGTTCTCCCTCCAACTGAAGTCATCTCCTGTTAATTTGATAGTCTAATGCATTTCTACTATACAGGTCCTGTCTTACACTGAATCCTGGTCTTATTGTTCAGCTGGTCCTTCTTTCGTTTTTTCGCAGCCACATCGCAGTTCAGGTTGTGGAAGATGTTCTCCTTGTTGAATTCCTCTTTCCAGCAGTAACTGGAAATGATACAAGAGGGGTAGATACAAGGGGAAAAGAGCTTGAAACTCTTATACATTTGTCTTCATTAAGACTCCTCCACCCCTTCCTAAAAAGGAGTTGGAGTAGAAAGATAAACAGTTAAGTTGACATATGTCCCAAAACTGCATTGGATGGCAGCCTCTTCTAAAAGACCAGAGGGATCGCATTTCCTAAAAATAGTTGATTACCCACAGGAAGGTTAGTCGGGAATCATTAATAATCACGAATGGAGTCAGAAAACAGTGGTGGGTGGAAGATGGCAGCCATGCAGAATTGCCTTGCTCTTCAAATGGACACCCCATAACTACAAACTTTCATCAATGATGGCTTCTTTCCTCTAAAATGTTATGTCCAAGGTGGTTGGGATCCCTTCTTTCTCCCACCAATTGCTTTTCTGTTCCAGATCAAACTTCAGGTCTGGACTGTCTCTATATTCATTGTTCTTAGCCCCCAGTTTGGTGTAGCCCCCACCCCCAGTTTAAGGCACCAGATTAGAAACAGCAAGATAGAGAGTTGTAATCGCACCTTAGCTATGAAGCCAACATATGTGAGTTTGGGTCATTCATTTTCTCTCACTCCTAAAAAGAATGCTACTGCCAACTACAATTGAAAATGTTATCAAGAAATGTTGTCTGTCCAGGCAATCTCCAGGAGTTAAGACTGACTCGAAGGCACACAAGATCTTACTGAAATAAGGCCATTTTTTTAAAAAAAAAAATTCAATTCCTTTATTACACGCCAGTGGTTTGTAATATTCTTCATCATTCTGATACCCTCTGTGTGTGTGTAGGCTGAAGGTAACAGGGCTTGTATTACAGTACTTCTGGAAAAAGCCAAATAAAGATTGGTTCTAAGATTTATTTGTTTATATATTTATATGCTACATTTATCTGAAATGCATTTTACAGTTCGGTTTTATCTTTATAGCCCCAGTTTATCATGCACAAATGATTAAGAAGGATTTGCTTGCATGATTCCTTCTTGTTTATGATCTCTGCTCTTTCGGGTTTTTCTTAACATGACTTTTATCAGTTCTATCATCTTTCCCTTAAGCAAAGGAGTTTCTTCCTCAACAATTATGTGTTGCAACTCTTCCTCTTCCCTTCTCTTTCCTTGAAGCCCTTCTTTTCAACGTGGCTTGCTCTCTTAATCTTCTACAATCAACCTTTGCACATACCCTAACAGGATCTGCCACATTCTCTCTTCCCAAAGTTTTCTGCCTCTTGCTTTCTTCTCCTTACTTTTATTTTTAGACAATAAATCCTTTAAAGGTATGGAGGTTGGGCACATGGACCCTGCACACATTGAGAATGACACACACACACACAAAAATCAGAGATGGCTAAATCGACTCCTTTGATCAACAAAAACCACAATTACTCTTGTTTTTACTTAGAAACCGCTTCTGAACTTTGTGCTTGAGGTGGAAATAAATGAAACGTTGATTTTGGGTTTTACCGATTAGATTTGTTGTTATAGAAATGGCTAATTTATACTCTTATGTAAAAGTAAAAAGTTGAGGTTTGATGTTGCTGTCTTATTGTACTGCACCAAAAGGGAGTCAGAAGTTAATGCCTTGTTTTCTTTTTTCCCTTCTTTTCTACACTTCTCCCCTTATTTTTCCTACTATTTGCTTTTGTATTTTTGTATTTTATATTGTAAACTAATAAAAAAAGAGAAGAAAATGCTACAAAAAAGATCTGATTTTCAATAAATAAATGAGTATATATTGACTGTTCTATACTAAGGGGAACTTCACTATGCCCATTGATAGAGAAGCATCTTCTTCTGGCTTCTATCACCCAAATATCTGGAAGAGGTACAGGAGTAATGGCTCAGTAATAGCATATGCTTTGCAAATAGAAGCAACCATCTTCAGCATCCTTAGCGCTCTTAGGAAAGCTCAAATTTTTGAAACCTTAAGTAGTCCCCTCTGAACATTATAAAGATTACCCCAAAACAAGCTTGGTTCCATCACTTCATAGATGTGTCCATGAACAGTCATTGGTTTGCTAACAGTGCACGATTGTTATTTCTGGGGTGGTTTTTTTTTCCAATTTCTCATCGAATCCTGGAATTTCCTACAGGTCTCCTTTGCAAATACTAATCCTGATTTGCTTTTTTTTCAGGGTCAGCCATGTTATGGTAAGTGCTATCATCTGGTATGACAGATGAGCCAGTATCACCCAGAATAGATAACACTGATTTGGTGGTTCCATGAACAATGACTGGTCTCCTGAAGTAACCCAGTTCTGCATCTGTTCACCATACTGAACCAAAAATTAACTCAGATGGGCTCGGTTTAACATACAACACAATAACACTTTGGAAACTAACCTTGGTTCAAACTATAAATGTAGACCCCAGCTCTTTAACTGACCTAGTTAAATGTATTGTGTGAACAGAGCTAGCAATTGGCAGAATTGAAAGTTCATGTAAGCCCTATAATCTTGTCTAGTTACACCCTTCTTCTAACTTCACCACAGCAGTGATTAAAAGTATGGGAGATACCCAACTAACCTGTTGGCCTATTGGGTGGGGAGAGAGGAGAATCCTTATAGAGGACCCCAGAGTTGCTTAACATGGTTTGTAAGTGAATCTGGCTTCCTCATTGACTTTGCTTGTCAGAAAGTCATCTTTTGTCTCAATATCACAGTGCCATCATGACAACCAGACCAAGGGCAGCCCATGCAATATATTCAAACTTATAAGAGATTCAACCATTTGTTTTGCAGGTAGGTAGAAATACAAAGTCCATGTACTCTGATCCCTGGTTTTTGCATTAACACCATTCTGACTTTGATAGTCCATTATTTCAAGGCCCAGTGCAATCAGGAAGGAACAGTGTTAAAAGAATTATCTATAGAGGTTTTTTTTAAAGTTAATTATAAATAAGTTGAACCATATAGCAGTTCCAGAAAATGTGTGATGACCCAGGGTGGGGTACAAAACAAACACAGTCACAGAAAACAGGTGAAGCCACTTTTATGCCTTCACTTTGCTTCCAAGCTCCGAATATTCTTGACTGAAGTCAAAAAACTCCCACACAGTTACAAGAAGAAGGGAAAAAGCAACACAAACCAAGCAAGATAAGGGCTGGAGGACGTCCACAGATAACACACACTGAGAAGGACGCCAAATTCAGAGAGGAATCATAAACTAGAGATATTTCCATGCTTTGTGTCCAGCATTTGCCCATACGCAGGTCCGTACTCTTAATTCAGTTGTCACAGCTGCAGCCCATGAAGAGGATCAAAGCCCTCTCCTCCTGAGTAGACCACGTCTCTCCCTTATCCTCTCCTCCCTGCGTGCCCTAGGATGGAGAGGGGATGGGCCTGGGTCCTCCTCTGACTGCCCAGCCGGCCTCTGCCCTTCCACAACCTCCTCCACAACCTCCAGAGCCACACTTCCACTCCCTGTCAGCTGTTCCTCCTCTCCCTCAGAGTCAGTCTCCACCAGGGGCAGGACAAAATGTCTCATCTTCAGAAGGATGCTTCTTGATACAAGATACAGCTGCCATTTTCTCAACCCTCCCCAAAAAACCAAAAGCAAAGCTTTCACAATCATAACAGTCATTAAATACCAGTTGCACCACAAGACCCATGACCTTTGGGTAATAATCTTCCCCCTCCAATTAACCACTTCTTGCTCATTTGATGTCACAACTTCCTGCTTGTGTCACATCTAAGATATATCACTGATACCTTCAGGCACGGTCACACTCATGTCTCATATATTTACTAAGTGCAATTCAGACTTCTTCCAAGGTCTAAAAATACTCTCAATGCGAGCTGGAGATTGCAAAGAGGATGACTGGGGAAAGCAATGTGAAACTAAAGCTGTCTTACACATCCAGGAAGAATGAAGATCCAGGAAGTTACATTTGACTTAGACTTCTACTTTCAACTGCCTTTCTACTGAGAAGTACAGAGGCAAAGATAGAGGATCTATCCAGTTCATGCAAATCATGGGAATACAAACTGAATTACAGGTAATCCTCAATTTACAACCACAACTGAGCCCAAAATTCCCATTACTAAGCAAGACAGCTGTTGACTTTTGACCCATTTTATTATCTTTCCTGCCATAGTTCTTAAGCGAATTACTGCACTTGCTTAAGATAACTTGCTTAACATGGCTTGTAGGTGAATCTGGCTTCCTCATTGAATTTGCTTGTCAGAAGGTCACAGAAGATTATCACATGATCTCGGGACACTGCAACCATTATAAATACATTCCAGCTGTCAAGCTTCTGAATTTGAATCATGTGACCATGAGGATGCTGCAACCATCATAAATGTGAAAAATGGTCATAAGTCACACTTTTTTCAGTGCCACTGTAACTTCAAATGGTCATTAAACAAACAGTTGTAAATCAAGGATTATGTGTAACCTCTGTCATGCCCTTGTCAGAATCTGACTCAGAGGGGGAGGCCAAGCACACTCTGTAGGAGTCTGGCTTCATTGGCTGTGGAAGAAACTGGGGAAGGACAAAGTCCGGCTGGGCAGAGCAGAGGAGAGGTAGAACAAGGGAGAGGGAGTTCAGAGGAAGATCCAGGCCCACCCCCTCTTCATTCTAGGGCACGCAGGGAGGAACGGAGAAGGGAGCAACATGGATTGCATGGCTTATGGGGGAGGAAAGAGCCCTGATTCCCTTCATTAGCTGCAGCTGGGAACATAGTGTATAAAAAAGGACGCTGTGTGCAGCAAGATGTATCATTATGGCTTATCTGCGTTCCTGGCATTTTCCCAACTGTGTGAGTTTTGCTGTGCTTTCAAGTCTGAAATTCCTTCTCCTGCTCTGTCAAGTTAATTACTGCAGTGTGGTTTGTTTGGATTTTTAGTTATTGTATATACTTCATTTTCTGACTGAATTTTCTCCACTTAAAGGCTGTTCCTGGGAGTTTTTCTCCAGCCGAAGTTAACCTAGACATTGGGAGCAAAGTTGGAGATAATAAAGGGACTCTTATTGCTTATT